AAAAAAAAAAAAAAAAAAAAAAAAAAACAAAAGGTGTGTGGCGTGTGGAATTCATATGTTTGTTTAAATTATAAAGATGAGCAAAGCAAAATCAAAAAGCCAAAAAAAAAGCTTATTTTGTTTGATGAATAACATGTAGCAGGTACTATTATTATTATTATTTAATTTTGTTTGGTTTAAGATAAATATTTTATTTATTAATTAATTATTTTATTTTATTTTCATAGAATATCAAAAATTTAATGATAAAAAAAAAATTAAAGAAACTGAAATAACTAAAATTGAAAAAGAAAATATTAGACGTTTCCTTCTTTAATTGAACAATTCCTTCTCGGGTTAGGAAAACTAGGCACACATTTCGTGCCTATTAGACATTAGAATTAGCGTATATTTTTCTTTGTTATTTAATTTAATCGTCTGGGTTATAAGTAGTTTAATGTATTAAGATATATATTTTAACTCGAAAATAAAAAGAGTATTATAAATATTTGAATGATTTTGATTAATCTTGGTTTATATATATTTTAATTTAAAAGAATTTTAAATGAATAATGATTGGTGAGGAGTTTCTTTTATAATAATTATTATTTTTTTTAATAAAACAAATTTTGTAGTTTGGGTTGGTGTTAGGGGTTCTTGGAGAGATCAAGGTGATTAAATTAATTTAATCTTTTAATTAATATAATATGTGTTAACCAATGTTCTAACTTTGGAAATTTTGATGATTTAAATTATATTATATGATATTTAATTTTAGTATTGAAGCACTTTTTAATACTAAATTATAAATACAAGGAAGAGTTAATTAGAAATTAAAATAATAATTAGAACTTCATATCTTATAATTATGAAAATTTAACCAATAAATTTTATTTATTTTTATTAATTATTATTTTTATAAAGTTTGTTAAAATAAATGGCCCGGATGAAAATGGACCAAAGAGTTGGGGGGCCGAATTAGAAAGGAAACCGGCGGCCATGAGACCAGTGGCCCAAATTCGGCGCCAGGCTTTTCCTTCCTTCGCCTGAAACGCAGCCCCGATCACCAACGGCACCAGCGTTCGCCATTTCCGGCGAAAGAAGCCAATCGTACTTATACAGGTACAGAACAGAAGTTCTTGTTCTTTATATGCTGAAGAATCAACGCTGATTTTTCTGCTTGGAACTTTCAGAATCTTTTACTTTTCTAGGGTTTTATAGTTGTCGGCTTTGACTCTGGCCTGTGCAATTCGAATCCATTTTGCGAGAATAAATTTGTGCTCATTGTTTAGTTGATGGATTTGGATGATGAGTTTTTTCTTTTGGGGCTTTCAAATCATGTTTTGAAGTGCGTCGGCTCTGGTTTTGAGTTCCCGGTGTCTCTGTTTCCCTTGTATTTGACTATCACTATTTGTTGTTGAGCTTAGTTCTTTTTCCTTGTACTTTATTAGGCACAATCGGGTTGTGATTATCTATAAGATTCCGCATCGATTGGTGAAAAAAAAACGAACTATCCTTTATAAGGGTGTAGAAACCTCTCATGTTTTAAAAATCTGGAAGGAAAGTCCAAAAGAAAAAACTCATAGAGGATAATATCTGCTAGCAATGTATTAGCAAAGAGACTGAACTATAAAGGGGGTGGGACACGAGGCGGTGTGCCAACAAGAACGCTGGTCCACGAAGGAAGGGTGGATTGGGGAGTCCCATATCAATTCGGGAAGGGAACGAATGTCAATGAAGACGCTGAGCCTCGAAGGAGGGTGGATTGTTAACTCCCACATCAATGGGAAAGGAGTTACGAAGCATCTTTTATAAGAGTGTGAAAATCTCTCCCTAATAGACGTGTTTTAAAAACTTTGAGGGAAAACTCGAAAAAGAAAGTCTAAATAAAACAATATTTGCTAGTGGTGGACTTGGGTATTAGTAATCTTGCTCTCTGATACTAAGCATTAACTCAAAAAAGAATGATTGATTAGATCAAAAGTAGAAAATATCATCTGAAATTTCAAAAGAAAACCTGAAAGTGTATGGTCTTTCTACAGATTAGAATTTTCAAAAGGAAACCATGGAATTCTAACAGGTGCTTAGTACTGATAGTGATAGCCAAACGTGGATTTCACAGGTCTGGCTAGGTTTCAATGATCCATTTGTGTTTCAACCCAACATATGATCTTCTGGTCAATTTTTTGAAGAAACTGATAGACAACAATGCTACTAGTTCCAAAGCTCAATTGGGGTAAGAAGTTAGCAACATGATATATCGATTCATGATACTCTTTCACAAATACATAAAGACCTACAACTCTGGCTTAGATGCATAATGTCGAGTTGCCTTACTTGGCCTTACATGTAAAACCTAAAGCCATTTAAATAATGCAGCCAATGACAATATCAAAAACTACGGTTAAAGACTCAAATATATCAAAAGCAACTAACAAGTTGTCTGTTCTAACATAACAAAATTCAACATGCATATCAACTAATGAAGGAGCTAGTCTATAAACGAGGTCAAGTACTTGATATTTCTGAGAATTTCGGATCTTCAAACTTTTCAGCTTCAGTAAATCAAGTAGAGAGATGAATAAGAACTTCCCCATTAAGGATGAACACAAGCGAACTTCCAATGCAAAACTTAAACAGTCCTCAGCGGAGGAGAAACCAATATGACACCATCTCCTCTAACGAAAAGAAACGGGACAGTACGCCTGGATGTCTGGAAAAGAAAATCAATAAATATACCAAATCTCCATTGAAGTACATACAAGAGATATCATACTCAACCTAACATAACAAGTATGGATATAGACTCAAGCTTGAGGGACCCAGGGTATACTTTTCTTCCTTTCCTTCAGTTTAAAACTTCAAACTTTTGAGCTATATGTATTTTCTGTCCTTTAGAAACACAATACTTCACTAGTAAGCCAGTTTTCACGTCTAAAAGCCCACCTGGTTTACTTGAAAATGATACCAATTTAAGAGTATTCAAACCTATCTTCTACTTGTTAGTGAATTAAGTGTTTATGGAATGGACTCTTGTGCGTGGTATGTATCTATTTTATAGCACGAAACTGAATGCTTCGAGTAAATACCAAGATTTTCACAAACATTCCTCGTGCAAGACTCGCAAACTCTATTTCCTATGAATAATTCTCCTATTTTATCGGGGGTGGTAGCGAGAAAATGATCATACCCGAACTATCTCTTCATAAGTCTCATCATCAATTTCAACTGTGGTGACAATTTCTTCAACATCACCAAGAATCATATTTAGATGCTGATCATAAGCCTGCAAAACATGATAGCCAGAAATTGATTATAGAAATGAAGAAACGTTTCAAAGCTTGAAAATTTTCCATTCGCAATGTCATCTCAAAACTAGACATGCAATACAAGAGTCAACAGGTCAGTTATTGATCATATTCAACGTCATGTAGATGAGTGTGTCACAACCTATAGGGCATTGCAACAGGGGTTTGTTAAAAAAACAAGGTCTCCACTTAGAACATCAGTACTAACCACTAAATGAGAAAATGTGGCTCCAAGAAACCCGTCAGTACCAAAAAAATCTAAAAAATGGACCATATTTGTTTAAGAATCAACTAGCAGACTTGGGCCTTGATATTGTAATCTATGGAGGTTCAATTGGGAAGAAACACATTCATAATGGTACATTGGCATGGATACTAGGAAACATCCTCCAAGTTCATGCCACTCCATTCCCATAAAGGGATAATTACTAATCGGAAGAAACTAAGATGTCGCCATAATGAATGTAAGCAAATTTCAAGAGAAAACCATCAAGAAACTCGAACAATAACAAAACCCTAATTCCCCAAACTACCAATTTGATAAAAAATTTATTGAAAAAACAAACAAGTGATGGCAGTCGATTCATCATTAGTGAAAGAAAACAGATAAAAGAGAAAGAGAAGAATCAATCGAAGGGGATGAGTATAATACATGGAGCTTCCCACGGAGTTCGCGGTCAGAGCGAAGCTTGACGTAAATGCGCTCGTCAAGACTCAACCTAATGAGATCCAACGGCTCCTTGACAGTGCTTTCTTCCTCGGTCGCCATTTTCGATCTCTCGAAGCTCTGAAATTCACGAACCAAATACTGAGGTTTATAATTCCGATTCCCAGTCACCGGTCCACCCCTATATTTAAGGTCGATCCGACCCACGTATTTTAGGATCCAATAATATTTTTGAATTTTGCTATTTTCATCAAGTATATTTAATTTATTGATTATTGTCATTTTTTTAAATAAATAAATAATTGTCAAAATTTTAAAATTAGTTAACAATTTTTATTTTACTAACCAGAATTATTGATTTTTTATTTTTTATTTTATTTAGAGTTTGCACCCATTTGAAAAAAAAAAAAAAAAAAAACTTGTTTTCGTGCTCGGTTTCTTATTTTGCCTATTGTACTAGGAGCACATACTCGTACACATTTCTTCTTTCGGTATCTAATCATTTTAGAGAATGGTTTATTGATAATTGATATGTACTCATTTTTTGACTTCCACAATTTTTATAATGTATTTTCTTTTAGACGAACACGACTCTCCACGATGGTATGATATTGTCCACTTTTTCATCATTCAACACCTCTCCTCGAACAAACTACGTCTTCCCTTAATCAAGGCTCGACTTCTTTTCTTTTGAAGTCCTTTGTTCGACATGACTAAGTTTAAGATATGACTTTGATACCATGTTAGACGAACACAACTCTCCACCGTGGTATGATATTATCTACTTTGAGCATAAGCTTTTATGCTTAATTTTGTGCTAACCAAAACGCTTCATACCATTTGAGAAAGTATTCTATAAATGGCTAAACCTTCGCGAAATTAACTTAGACTTTCTTTTTGGCCAAAAACTAGTTTGAATTTCTCTTTTAAAAAAAAAACTTTAATTCTAAGGGAATCATTTTTACGATAAGAATATGGGAATCAAAGTTTTGAAGTTGAAGAAGCGAGAATCAAAAACGGATCGCTAATACTCATAGAGGAGATGCTTGCCCAAACATGGCATTTGATGAACCCCAACCCAATAGCACGCAAAAGCTTTTCACCGTTACGTGAAATTTAATGACCCACCAGATCCTCCCCATTCATTGAACTTTCATAAATCAATACCTACGCATTGGCTGTTCTGTTCGGTTCTTTCGCCCACTAGTTTGACGTTTTCCCTCTTTTTCTTATTCAATTACAAAACCCCACATCCCTGCTCTTTCCCCTCGCTTCTCGATCGCCAAACGCACCCAATAAGCGCCGTCGTGTCTTGTCTCCGCCTCTTTCCGTTTCCTATTTTCTGGGTTTTGCTCAGATAAGTGATTTTGCTGCTTCTTTCTTGACTGATTTGCTTGTAAGTGTGAAGGGTTGTTTCTCTTTTCTTCCCCTTTTTAGGGTTTATTCGCGAAATATTATGTTCTGTTTGGCTGATTCCTGTGTGTTCTTTTGCTTTTTGTGCAAATGGGTTTTGTTTGAATGATATTTCCAGTAGTCTACTGTGGAAAATTTGATCTGGGTATGCTTGATTTTCCCGTTCTGTAATGTTATGGATGATTATTTGATGATTTAGTAGCTTTAGAATCATGTGAAAGATAGGATATCGTGTGGGATGTTCTTTTGATATATTATATGGAAGGGAGTTTATCACAAGAAGGGTTGATTCCAGGAGGGGCCTCTTATGGAGGTCCTGATTTGCAAGGCTCGTTTAAGGTTCATAATCAGGCACAACATCATCATCTTCAAACTCATCAGGGTTCTTCAGTAAATCCTTCCATTCAGGAGGGTTTTTTACTTCTACAAAATTGTGACCATACCATGTCTTTGGTAGATTATAGCAAGGGAGACAGGTGTAAAAACTCACAGAGTGACGATGAGCCAAGCTTTAACGAGGACGGTATCGAGGGGAAGAAGGGATCGATGTGGCATCGTGTGAAATGGACGGATAAAATGGTGAAGCTTCTGATTACGGCGGTGTCTTATATCGGAGATGATATTGCTTCTGATTATGAAGGAGGTGGAAGAAGGAAATTTCAAATTATACAGAAGAAAGGTAAATGGAAATTGATGTCAAAGGTTATGGCTGAAAGGGGCTATCAAGTTTCACCACAGCAGTGTGAGGATAAATTTAATGACCTCAATAAGAGGTATAAGAGGCTGAATGATATGATTGGGAGAGGCACTACGTGCCAAGTTGTTGAGAATCCTGCACTTCTTGATGTCATTGATTATTTAACAGACAAAGAGAAGGATGATGTGAGAAAAATTTTAAACTCGAAGCAATTGTTCTATGAGGAAATGTGTTCGTATCATAATTTGAATCGACTCCATCTGCCCCATGATCCTGCTTTGCAGCGTTCTTTGCAGTTGGCTTGTAGAGTTAGGGATGATCATGATTATGATGAGCCAAGGAGACACCAAAACGATGATTTTGATGAAAACGAACATGGTGAAACTGATGAACACGATGATTTTGAGGAGAATTTTGCACCTTATGGGGACGACACGCTATCTCTAGGAGGCTCAGTAAAGAGGCTAAGGCGAGGTCAGGACTTCGACGATGCTCATGCCTGTGGAAATTCCTTGAATTCTCTTGATTGCAATAGAGGTTCTCATGCTTACTCACAAACACAATTCGCTCAAGGCGATATATATCATTTAGAAACCGAAAGTATGAAAGGTTCTTCGTCGCAAAAGCAGTGGATGGAGCTTCGTTTACTTCAGTTGGAAGATCAGAAGCTTCAAACTCGAGTTGAAATGTTGGAATTGGAGAAACAGAAGTTCAAATGGGAGAGAGTTAACAAGAAAAAGGACCGTGAGCTTGAAAAAATGAGGATGATAAACGAGAGGATGAAGCTTGAAAACGAGCGCGTTGCGCTTGACATAAAGCAGAAGGAAATCGGTTCAAGAATTCATTAATTGGCTGCTATAATCTGAACTGTTATGAATCGTTAAGCTGCTGCTGTTTATACATGTCTGGTTATGCTAGAGTAATGAGGTAGAGTTGTATTTGGGTTCTTTTACATTGCCTGCATCTAGCATGTATAGTTAGAAAGGTTTCATACAAATGACTGCGTTTCATTGTTTTGTCTCTACTTATATGGAATCTATTGTGGTTTAGGAACTTGATAAAATGGTTGGATATCTTGTGTCAAATTGATGCCATTGGTCTCGCGTTCAAGTTAATAAATTGTCTAGAATACAAGTTGTGAGATCTCACATTCGTTAGAGAGGAGAACGAAGCATTCTTTACGAGGGTGTGGAAACCTCTCCTTAGTAGACGCGTTCTAAAACTGTGAGGCTGACAACGATACGTAATGGGCCAAAACGGACAATATCCGTTAGTGGTGTGCTTGGGCTGTTACAAATGGTATCAGAGCTAGACACTGAGCAGTGTGCCAGTGAGGACGTAGGGCCTCAAGGGGGGTGGATTGTGAGATCCTACATTGGTTGGGGAGGAGAATGAAATATTCTTTATAAGGGTGTGGAAACCTCTCCCTAGTAGATGCGTTATAAAACCGTGAGGCTAACAGCGATACGTAATGGGCCAAAACGGGCAATATCTGTTAGTGGTGGCTTGAGTTGTTACAAATGGTATCAAAGTCAAACACTAAGCAGTGTGTCAGCGATGACGCTGGGCCCCCAAAGGGGGTGGACTGTGAGATCCCATATTGGTGGGAGAGGAGAACAAAACATTCTTCATAAGGGCGTGGAAACTTCTCCCTAGTAGACGTGTTTTAGAACCGTGAGGCTGACAGCGATACGTAACGGGCCAAAACGGACAATATAGATGATAAGATATTAGAAACTTCTGGAAGCTCATCTCTGAGGCTGTTTTTCCCTCTTGTTTATACTGATACTACCAACACATTTCCTCATCAGCCACTGTCACTTCTAGCATCCATGCACAGAGATCTTGACAATCTGCAATCCTGATAGAATAGCCAAACTCCCTACTATTTGAAGGGCTCGGCTCGACCTCGACCACGAGCTCTCACTTGGAGGATTCTTGCTCTATAAACAACTGTATGTACTCTTTCTCGTCCAGAAAAGTTCTTTCTTTTATGCCATTTAGTCTGAAAATTGACAGTTTTGAGGCCTCATATCTGTGTTGATTCACTAACAGATAGGAAGCATGAACATTTTCCTTTCTTGGCACTGTTTTCTGCATCCATTAACACTCACGAAATGTTATTCTGTCCATGGAGTGTGATGAACTTGAATCTCGAACTGTAATTTTAAACGAACTAGACCTCATAATATGAACTGTTATGACTGTAAACGGTCGCATTTACATTGTAAAGCGAGCAGGGCGTTGTTCGAACAAGTCGAACCGCCCAAATCACATACTTTACAGATGAGATCAAGTCCCACAAGCATTCCAAGCTACAGTTTTGGTCATGAGCAGCAGACATTCAAGGCTGTTCTTTCTGTCTATAATTATTATTATTATTAATCGGCACAAAAAGTTTCTGTATATTCAAATGAATGTCATTTTAGCACTAAGTGGGCCAAGCTGGCCCAGTGATTGGAACATCATGTGATCCAGCCCAATTCACTAATGCCTGTCCTCCTCTCAATTGGGAAAATAGGTCTCAAATATTTGTGAGATCTCATATCGGTTGGAGAGGGGAACAAAACATTCTTTATAAGGGCGTGTAAACTTCTCCCTATCAGATGCAAACATTCTTTATAAGGGCGTGTAAACTTCTCCCTATCAGATGCGTTTTAAAACTGTTTTAAAACTGTGAGGTTGATGGGAATACATAACGAGTCAAAACAGACAATAAGTGGACAATATCTAGGTCAACGATCTATGTGAATTTGATTGAGTCTATTATTTTCAAAATTTTATAATTAGGTCTACTATTTAATTCTACGTTTTAATAGGGTCATTTATGCAATAAAACTATACTTCCATAAAACCAAATAGTTGTTCCTAAATTAAATTTTCTTTAAACTAATTATAATTTTTATCCTTTGAGTCATTTACAATTTTACCCCTCAAACTCTATTTCAAGTTGATAGTTCCTAAAGTGTTCAAAGATAAAATTGTCATTTCACGTCATTTTAATGCCCAAATTGGGACCTCCAACCTTATAAATGGTCCAAAATGAAAATTACAAATGTGACCAAATTAAATATTTGGGGAATGATGGGACTACCTATGAGGTGTGCATTATGTCATAAATAAAATTTAAAATAAAAAAAATAATATCTAACATTAAAATTTTTATAAAGTAAAGAAATAGTATATCAACACTTTGTATGGAGAAAAATAAAACTAAAAATCATAATTAAATTAAATACCCAAAAATTATTTCGTAATTATTATTCTGTCCGAACCAAATAGACCCAAATTTATTTTTCATTCGTAACATTAAATAATTAAAAAATAATAATAATAAATTTTATCCACAAAAAATCATTCGAGAAAATTAAATATATTTCTAGAAATGAATGTAAATTTTCTTTTAATTCGTTTGATTTTTTTAATATTTAAAAAATATTGTAATGTTGTAAAGAAGATGAGGTAAGATTGAAATTTAATGGTGAATGGATAATGGTGAAAAAGTTCCAAAGCATTTGCAAGGGAAAGTGATTGCACACTAACATCCACTACTTTTGGGTTGCATTTCGGTCACATGGTCTATATCTTCGACTTATGTTTAGGTCATAATGGATATCATCATTACGTTACCCTGTTCAAAAAAACTCGATAAGTCGAAGAATTTTATCAACCCAATTGAACTCTCAGAATTTAGGTTAGGTTATAAACTCGAAGAGCCTTAATAATTAAGAGTTGCTATGATTGAAAAAATGTATAACTGAACAATTGGTCGGGTCTAAAAGGAAAGGTATTCCAACCTGACCCAATTCAATTCATGAACATCTGTAGATGATGGTACGAGATGACGATAGTGGCTAAAATTGTAGAGCACGGAAAAGTAATGGGACGAGGAAACCATCTTCACTAAAGCTTGTCTTCTTTAATTAATTGTTATCTTGAAGCATTAAAAAAAAAAAGTGAACTTTATAATGTGTCACATTCACGTAGAGTTACAATGTGGGTTATTCCTTTTTGGTGGTGTCGTACCTATTCAACTATTAAAAATTCATAAAAAAATATATGAATATTTGCCCTTTTTGGGTGCCATGGTAGGAGGGAGTCCTATGAAATGCAATTCCGAATCACCCTAATTCATGTCGTATCGTAGGTACCTAAGACAAACGTGGTTCAGTTTCTAAATTTTGAGATCTCACGTTAGTTGGAGAGAGGAACAAATGCAAAACATTTCTTATAAGGGTGTGGAAACCTCTTCTTAGTAAACGTGTTTTAAAATCGTGAAGCTGACGGTGATACATAACGGGGTAAAGCGGACAATATTTGCTAGCGGTGGGTTTGAGTTGTTACAAATGACATCAGAGTCAAGATTAGGCAATGAGTCAGTGAGACGCGTTTTAAAATAGTGAGACTATTACAAATGGCATCAGGGCCAAGATCAGACACTGTACTAATAAAGACGCTAGGTCTCAAGGGAGATGGATTGTGAGATTTCACAATAGTTGGAGAGGGGAACGAAACATTTTCTTATAAGGGTGTGGAAACCTCTCCCTAATAAACATGTTGTAAAACCATGAGACTAACGATGATACGTAATGAGTCAAAACGAACAACTACTCTAGCAAGTGTTTCAGTCAGACTAAACCCTTTAATAGTGGGTAATACACTCAACCCCATGCTTGTTAAGATTGGATGTTGATACCTCCTTTTGATTTTTGTTAAATGCTAACACTATTGCTCTTAATTCATCCTCATACTTTTGGTAACCAAATAAAGTGGCTTTATTTTCCACGTTTGGAAAAAAAAAAAAAAAAACTTTATTTTTGCAACGCTCAAATAAATGTTCAAGATGTGTTATCATAATAGATAGTGATTATGACAATGAAATGAGCTAGAATGCGTCGTAGATCTTATGTGATTACGTCGTTCTTTATATAAAATAGTTTTTTTAGGTTAAATTAATAAAAATACCCGTAAACTTTGTACTTTGTCTAAAAATTACCTGTAAACTTTGTACTTCGTCTAAAAAATACCTGTTAATTTTAGTAAAAAATGTTAGTTCTTTGTTTTATAAATACCCTTAAAATTTTATGCACTGTGGTACAAATTGTACGTGTGGATATAATCATTACATGCAAATCCATAATTCACATGTTATTCGTAATTATAGCAAGGTCAAAAATTTGTTTTACCTCGGTAATTATATATTTCCACTTAAGTATTGTTGATTCTCTAATGAATAATTTGTTTATGATTCAATCGTAAATTAAGTCTCTCTCGGGTTAACTATTTATCTATTTACCCTATATGAGAATGAGTAAATTTAATCTCGTAAGAGAGAAGAGCATTAGTGTCTTCTACACACACTTTGATGTCTAAGTCAACTACGACGTTGAGAGTTTTGTCCGAGCATGGCTCATAGGCGCACCTCTCACTCCTATTAATACAATTTATTAGGGTTTCTTACATATACCCATACATATTAGGCGATCTAACATGCGTGTCGATATTATACTAAGATTTAGTCGGTCCAACTCAGGCTGACCAAAGCAAGCCTCATTGGCCATAGATCGGGTCATTGGACACAATGAGCTTGATTAAGTGAACTTTGGTCACCTTTGGCCATGCTCTACTCGACCTTAGCCTAATAACAATCTTTCTCTCTTAGTTGGGTGAACTTTTTGGTCTTGATTCTTGTTAGATCTTGCATCGGTTAGAGAGAAGAATGAAACATTTCTTATAAGAATGTGAAAATCTCTTCCTAGTAGACGCATTTTAAAACATGGAGAGGAAGCCCAAAGCATACACTATCTGCTAATGGTGGTCAATATCATTTTAAATTTTCTTTTTTTGTAATCTTGCTCAACCACACACACCGCCTGCACGTGCATGTTCATCGTCTGCGACACATCCAACTTCCCTCTACACTAGGCCAAGTCATTTGGCTCAACCTTACCTCTACTCGGGTCAAGCTCTCTCAATGCAACATCACATCTCATCTTGTCATCTCGATCCCCATCGACATGGTTCATATGTCCTAGCCCCATCCCGAGTCTCAGGATGTCGTCGGTCATCACAACTTGTTCGGTCA